CCACAGGTACCATATTTAGTGGGAGAGCATGATCTTCGGGAGGATTAAGGAAATGCTTCAGGGGGTTGTGCTGCTCTTCAGAGGGAAGGAGGAGGTGGGAGGGGGATATGGGGGTGGGAAAGGGGAGGGATGAGATTGCCTCACAAAATCAGGGGTCTTATGCACCTTTTGTGGGGTGAGACTGTTTCCAATTAAGACAGCATGAGCCACACAATATCACATTGTCACGCAGTAAACAGAGCTCCGCTTCCCACAGAAATAGGATTGCATCCCCCTTTAGGGGCTAATGACTGTGTCACTGTCCTATTTTCCTGCACTGTTTGAACAGTTTAATACAGACATAACCTGAACAAGCATCAAAGTGTGCTGAACTAGCATGCGATAGTGATCATATTTAGGCGCCGCGTTCAAGCGTTGACCTGTGCATGACTACAATCTTTACTCATTCTCATTGCATTAGCCTGCCTTTTTGTTTGAAGTGTACTTACAGTAAATATGATACATACACCAGGGCTAAAAGCTTTACATAAAACTGTCTTCAAAGAGCATATTAACCCATCTTTGTTTACAAGAGACGAGTCTGAGAAAAAAGACAATTTGGCACAATGGTCGTAAAATTCAGTTCTCTCCGTCTCACTGGCATGCACACGTACACACACTAGCACACACTCTGCAGACACAATGCAGACACGAGGCTAAATCACTTTGGATGGGAGTATTTAAGATGGAGTGTCACATTTCTGTGTAATAAATAGCAGAGATTGATTTGACCTCCCAGCCAGGTCCTGCAGTTTACTTATACACAAGTTGAGAAAAATGGAAGCTTTCACCCTCTGGGGATCTCTTAGAAGGATATCAGATAGCCTGTTGTGGGTTTAAGGCCACAACGATCTGGCCGTGTCAATATGGCTCTGCTATCAAGCGGCCTACCTCTCTACCTTCTCCTAAAGCAACATGAGAGAAGAAAGCAGGCCTCAACCATCTCCAGCTGTTAACTCGGTTGTGGGTCCAGGATGAAGGAGGTGAGAAAGGTCAAAAGGTTTCTCTTACTGTTTCTTTTCAGACAACAGACCTTTTTGCATTACTTAGAGTTTCCCATCATTCTTTTGCCATAGAGGGCAAGAGAGCATACATTCATATAAGCAAGCAGGCCAAGTCAAAGCAACTATAATGAAAGGTACATAGAGTGAGCTCTTTGGTGAATTTTCCAAAGAATAATCTTAAACAAATCTCAGGAGCTGCCCTAAGGCTGGGAAATGAGAGAAGATACCAGCAGGTGTAAAGTAAGATCCTAATATGGAGCACATCACCAGAAGGCAAATCGCTTCTCCCCCTTCTACTGCACATATCTGCAACCTTAAACAGGGGGCGGTGTCTCTGTGAGTATTTACAGTGACATAAGGGGAGGAAATTGTCTGAGACACAGGGCAAAAATGAATGTACGTCTGGAACCCAGGTGTAGGACACAGCTCGTGAAAGACACTGTCGAACTATACTATACACTATACTATATATACCTACAGTCTTTAATCAGTTATACACATATGAAGGCCTTGCCCCAAAATATTGTTGGTATTTGATTTGACCTAACAGAAAGCAAGACAGAGAAAGCGTTCCACCTCAACATAATCAAAACTACACAGAAGCTGTTCCCAGACAGCAACATGTGGTGCCCATAAACCCCACATCCTATTCGCAGTAATTATATTGCAAGAGCCACATGAATTATCATTGACGCAACATGTAATGACAACATCTTCAAAATGTCTTCCGCACGAAGGAGGAGCTACCGACTCAGATGACTTGTGTTTCCTTTACAGTATTATTGTTTCATGAATGCTATAGACATGGGATTACACCTATGATGTCTCTGTTCACACTCAACCTCCACAATCCCACTCCCAACAGAATACATACCTGGATATGCACTTCAGCAGGATATATACAACAGAAAAATGCAGTCACACAAAATGCCAAAAGTATTAACTTTCTGCTCTGCAACTCAAGATGATTACAGCATCATTATCAGGGAACTAAGCAAGTGTCTTTCATTTTGAGTGTAGTTTACACACCGTTAGCACTGTCGGAAATGCTGGAATGCTGTGAATACGTTACTTGCTATTGACTTCCCAACTTGCTCTCCTCCCAGCCTTGCAGAAGGGAAACCAGCCAGTGATGAACGATGGCAGCACAGTCAATGAAAAATCAACTGGAAAGCACAAAGCTCTTAATGCCCAGCCATATTGGCTGCTGACGGGACCAAATAACATCAGCATAGCACTTACAGAGACCAATCATACATTTCCACCAGCAACGACACAGGATCTGGACCGCAATAAATTCTTTCCCCTGATTAAACAGTAAATTCTGCATGCCTATCAGGGTCCCATTAAGTGGGGGGGCCGCTTTCAAAAACATCATTAATCAAGCGCGAGATATGGCGCGAAATATCAGTCATCGATTGTAACTGCTTATGACAGTTTACACAGCTTTATATCTGCAGGCAGTGCTCGCTGATCTATCAATTACCGGCAGCCCTTACCGCATGCTAATTGTGCATTTTCCCCTCTAATGCATTTGCACTGTTATCTTATAGGCTAATGAAACCAAACAAATCAATAAATATAAATTATACATGCAAAGATGTACTGCTGTGAACATAAAGCCTCTAATTAATTGCAGTTGATTAATTTATATACTTTAATTATCTCTCCTGCCTGCAGATGGCATAAATATCTGGACAATCTGCTTATTGCTATGTCAGTCATAAAACGGCAGACGCAGTGAAACTGTTAGGCGAGGCTAGCTTTGTCACTGAAAAACACACAGTTGCTGACATAAAAAAGCCCTGCCTCTGAATAATTTAAAAAGAGCAAATTGCCAGACAATGCACAGCTCGAGACTTATAATTTCTTTGCTGGTTTGTTATGGTAAGTAGTATGTCCATTTTGTATGAGCACAGGAAAACTTACCACTATATTTTCAGTTACCGTTCTTTATGTCCAACCCCCAAATGGTTTGCAATTTAAGCAATTTCTCTGTACAAATTTCAGCAAAGCCTTTTTGGGCAAAGCGAAACCCTGTTGGTACTGATATTTACGGTGCACTGCTCTACAGAACTTCAAGCAATTAAGTTTTAATTAAGTTACATTATTGAAAACAGCTCTGACGTGCTTGTGTGTAAGCTTTGGAAGCATTCTTCATTTAAACCAATTGCTACACAGCCACAACAACCTTGTGAGAAAATCAGGCTGTCCATGCCTTTTAGACCAGTTTAATGAACACCATAGGACAGTATTACTTGCAGCTAGTGAAGAAACACGATTCATGGCCATGGTGCAGTTTCAATACAACATATGCAGTGCAACCAGGGTGAAAAGCAGCGATATGATCCTGCTATGTACTGCAACAAGCAGAAAGTTAAGAATGAAGTGGAGTTGGACCAATAACTTGCCTTCCAAGGGTGCACAAGGGGAAAGATAGTGAGGCTTCTGGGGGTTTACATCTTGATGCTGCTAATGAGGGTGTTTTTAGTATAATTACCCCAACAGGGTGCTTGGCAGCATAATTACCAGAAAGACATTACAGAGGAACATTAGTGTGTCCAGGTACAGTAAATATGTCACGATAGAAGGTGACAAGGTCTGCTTTTTATCTTAAGGAGGATTTTTCCAAAAAAGCAGTTATTTTCACACATGTGCCAAACAAAAATCCGAGTTTCATTATACTTACGACAATAACAGGTTCCCTGTAAATGTATCAAATGTAAAGATTACAAAATGTAAAAGTGCAGAATGCGTGTGAACATTTCAATTCTCAGTGTGGTCTCTCCTGTTGCTGAATGTGTGGGGCCCTTTTTTCTACAAAATGCCAGAGTCAAGTGGGAGTCCAAACAGTCAAGTTTATATGGCTGAGACCCAAACTCCAGCAAATCAGCTGCCCACAGTTGAATGTTCTTTATGAAGTAAGTGAATACCTGGCAGGGATGTCTAGCACTTTTGTGTAGGCGACTCCAGACATATAGTTTAGATCACATAAATGCCACAATGCCTGTAAAAACACCTGGACTTTTTGGCCCCGACTTCAAACATTGCCTTTGCACTCTTTTTACCTTCGCAGATCTTTTATGTGGTCAGGTTGCAGAAAAAAATAATATCATCCCATTAAAGCTAAATGTGTGACATCTGAAATGAGAAGAAGGTTGTTACATGAACACTTCTTGCAGATGTGGGTCAGTCCTTTCTTATGGTCCAGTCAAGTCTGTACTGTATTATTATCATTGTTATACGGAGTGATCGAGGTACTAAACTGCAGCTGGTGTGGATTGTCTGACTTAATATAAATAGTCATGTCATAATAAATAATTCCCACTGACATTTATCAAGGCCCTCTATTATGACAGTTTGAGCTACAAATGTTTAAATATCAGTAGTATAGTGTCCTGAAATCCCACAAAAACAATATCTGTCAAATTTCCTTCCTCTACTTTTTAAATCCTTTGACTTTATTTCAGTTGCATGCTCCTTTCTGACAATACAACCAGAACTTTAGCAGAAATAACCACAACTATATAAACAGAATTCGGGGATGAAAGCGCAATTTCTCAGACATTGTGCCTTTACTTTATCTCCCCTCCCCTCTGAGCAGAGACTTTTAATCATCCCGATATGATTTAGTCACTTTTAAACAATAATGATCATGGAAGCAGCGTCATTTGGGACGAGGTGATCAATCAGGGGCTCATTCAGCTTTAATTCATGTAGATGCACACCTAATACTCATTACAAAGATGCAATTTCCACCCAGTCAACATAGATTAATGGGGGACCATCTCTCCTAGTGTTTCTTTGTGCAGTGCCATGCCTCCAGCAGGATAGATGACTTTCATACAGACAGAACTGGTCCACGCGCTCATTCATTTAACAGACACATTTATGACAATTCGGTTGGTTGACAGAATATTCAGGAAACAGCAATCAAAATGACACAGAGCAGAGTTCTGCTTTGGTATTTTTTATTGGTTTTGCTTAAAACGAGAACAGGATTTGAGTCACAAATGTCTTCCATCGAAAAGGTCTTTACACATTCAGCAAAACATCAGAAATACCACCAAAGAAATATATTCTGTAAATACTTTGAAAGTTGTTGTGATCATTGTGATCAGGTATTCATTTTGAAGCAAAAATAAATGCAGGGAGTTTTATAAAACGACATGTTGTAAAACATTTAACAAAGTTGCATCAATTCCTTTACAAACCACTTTTCATTCAGCTTCAGGTAGTAGGTTCCTTAAACTTATTATTCAAAAATATGTTGTATGGTTAACATAGTCATGAAAATTGTTTTTTTTTTATCTTTAATTTATTGTTTTTACTTAAATTACAAAAAAATCCTTCATATATTTACATGAATATCAATGTAGTTGCTTCCATCAGTGTTGAATAAACCACATATCTCAGAAAAGTTACAGGAAATCTGGTCACATTGTTCTTAATGTATTTTGATAGATAATATCTATGAATGTTACTGTATATCTACATCTTCCTATCACATATGTTTCTGTATAAAATCTCAGTAATTCAGCATAAACTTATACGGGTAACTGAATGAGCCTCTTGGGTCCTAATAAGCAGACATGTACTGGTATTTCCTCAAATGCAAACTAAAGCCTATATTCCCCTGGTTTATTATACACACTTTCAGTATTAATATTAATGTGACTTCCGTTTGTGGAAAAAAAAATGCTATGAAGTTTGAGAACTCTGTCAGCACAGAAAATCTTTGAGTTTTGCAACTGAATAGACACTTGTAGACTGAAATTGCCATTTTCCTGGTGCATCTCTAATTTCCCTCGTATCAGCAGGCGCTGGTGGCAATGCTGAGGGCAGATTACAGCATGGGGAGAGCCTGTCCTGAAGAGCTCCAGGTGGCTGGAGTTAACTGTGCTGCCCTGGGCTATGTCACTGTGAGCTGGACCAGCATCCCTGCCCATGGCCCTCCCCTTCTCTATATCCTCCATCTCCCTCGGCATGCCCATCCATCCATCCTGCACTAATTGGGTTTGGTACTGGAATCCCCCTCTCACAGCATACGCTCACGTCCAACCGCTAGCCGTAAAGACAAGCATGTTTAGCGCAACAATTATGATAATTGCTGCAGAGCACTCAGCTAAGGGAATAAGCAAATCTGATTAAGGGCCCTTCTGCATGATCAAATATTAATCTGATGTGTCTTCACTCTGACCTGGCTTGGAACATAAGAAGCTCTTATGGTCTTATGCATTAACAGATTTGCGCAGGCTGAACTCATAGCAACTAATAATATTGGACATGCAAGTCAGAGCGCTGAGAAAACCTTGTGGGAGTAGAATCCACTTACATGTACAATAAAACTAAATAACAATATCATGGACTATAATCAGACTAAGCGTTATAAGAACTCGATTACTTCAAAAGGCTGCTGACAGTAAGCACCTATTATTTGAAATTCTCAGAACCACCTGTTGGACTGAAGTCAACAAGCTACGTTATATAAGTAATAAGCTTTATATTCACATTATGTTTAATGCCACAAAAACAAAACACACATGAAAGTTCCACCTGTTAACCTTCATGCTTTAAAAATGTTTTACATTATGTAAGTAAAATCTTAATAATAATTTATATATTTTTTTATATTATCCAGATAAATTAAAATAATGTAAATGTCAAATTTTAGAAAGTATTTTTCCCATACATATTTATATTTTTAATTTAATTAAGCTTTTCTAAGGAATTCTAATTATTAAATACAGTGTTGTGACGGGGAAATGAAAATGAAGTCGCTGCTCTTTTAAAAACATTAAGGTTTGAAAGAAACAAGAGGAAATTTTTCAGGCTGGAGAAATTACTGTCACTAAATATAAATAGAAGGTGTTCACACAAGACTTTCTGAAAGAAACAAAACTAAATATTATTTAAAAATGTTTTTATTTTTGAAAATGGTCAAAATCCTCATCAGCAAACACATCGGTTATTCAGCACCATCCCCGAAGTCCACTGGCCTCATCCAATTTGACCTTCCAGCCTACAGTCAAGTCTAGAGAGCAAGCAATAAACAAGATGGCGATGAACCAGACAGCAACTGGCAGTTTAAAGAAGATTAGAATGATATTAAATCAACACAAATACCCAGTATTTAACAACACAAAACAGCTTGTAAGAATCATTGGATTATGAATCTGGATTACATCTCTAGGCCCTCATTGCTGAGACACTCTGTCTATGGGGAAGAGGGAGGGGGACTCCAGATGAACTAATCTACTTACAAAGCATATTGAACTTACTATGATTTATACATAAGATAAGGCTTATTCTAAGGTCAATTCTTACAGTAATTCAAAACATACTGTTTATTCTGTTGGACATTAATGCAACAGATGTCCCTGCTACCCGCTGCTCCTCCTCAAATAAATACATGTCTGCATGAAAGTAAAACAGTGGAACTACAAGATGCACCGTATGTGATCGGGGGAGGAATGTCTAGCTGAATAATACGAACCACAGGACCACCAAATAACATCAGCACTCTATATATAGAAAGTAAATATCAGGAGACAAGACGAGCCATGGTAAACTTTTAGAGCACAAAGTGAGGGTTGTAAAATCTAAATGTTAAGTTTAATAGCATAAACCCTCCAGTGAAAATTTGAAATTAAAAATTAAATAACACACAAACTGTATGACGATAAATTGTAAAAGCTGCCATAGTCATCAATCAAATGTTCTGCATGCAATCGTACAAGCTGTGAAATCTAGGAATTCAACGCGCTTTGCAGTGCTTTTTTCAAGTATGTTAATATTTTTTCAAAAAGAAAGAAAACAAAACAGCAATTAATTTTTAGCTTCTTCTTATTACTGGATTTCTAAAGCGATACACACTAATCCACTGACGCCGTGCATTTAATTTAGAGCATAGTTCTGTGAAACAAGTCTAAGACTGTTTGTGAGAATGATCCTTCTTGACTAATATGAGATTAACCCAGATGCTTTGCACAGGAATAAAAACATGCTCACTGCTAGCTTTATGGTAAATGCATATAAATACAATATATTACTAAAATAGCGAGGCTATGCATAACCAAAAGAAAACAAAGTATATATTTTTAAAAATCGCAAACACGTTGAAAACCACTGTAAGAGTATTCTAAAACCAACATCATATGAATGTCTGGCTGTGGAGGACAGTGATCTAAGGAAAGTCACGCATACACAAGGAGCTCTAACACACAAATCTGGTAGAACACTATTTACTGATGAGTCAGTGTGCTGGAAGAGTTGTAACAATCCCGGGACACAGAAAAGCTTTAAAGTTAGCAAAGACGCTTAAAAATATATTGAAATTATAAAGAAAAAATACACACAGCCTCTTTTTTTAAACAAAAAACACCGCATCATTCTGAGGTAGCACCTTGATGCTAAAGGGAAGGAAGCTGAAATGAAAAATAAATAATCACAACCATGTTTTTCTTCTAGCTCTGACACGCGGAAGGTATATTTACTGAAGCTGATGAATTGTGCTCTTCCTGTTCTGTGCTGCAGCTGTTGGAAATACTGACAGACATAACTTAATGTACTCATATTAAAACACTGACCAAGAAGCTGACCAAACAATTTCCAAAACACACTGAGAAGGTTACTATCAAGAGCTGCATTAACTGATTAAGTTATTACTGTTTTTATATATTGTTATAACATTTCAATTATGGCGATTGTTGAAAAAGGACTTTAGTTACTTTCAGTTAAAAATACAGTAGAAAACAGTTCAGTCATTGGGCCACATCATCTGTGGTCATTAGATTTTAGCCTGTTATTTGCCTACAAGTAACCATAGTAACAAAACTGATGCTTTACAGTACGTTAATGGTTAAGCTCACTTACAATTTACATAGCTTAGCCAGTGATCGCATTAACTAAAACAAGTGAAAACGCATGACAATATTCTGCTGTTCTTCACTGTTCATTTGCAATGGTTTGTGTGTGATAAGTGTAGTTTGAAATAGAAAACAGTTGTTCTAGGGAGAGCTCTTTCACTTCACATCCGTCTTTGCCCCAAATGTTTAAAGAAAATTTTTATAATGTTTTCTCTTTTTTTGGCAGATGGGATATTTTTAAACTTATCAAATGATTCACGTTTGGTTGGAGAAAAAAAAGAGAAAGAAATAAAATTATTATCCTCCTCCCCGAGTCCTACTCCTGTCAGCCTGCAGTCATTTCACAGCCCAATCTAAACACTGAAGTGGGAGACAAGATTGAGTATTTTCATAGCATGCTGCATTGCACCCTGACGCTGTAGACTGACTGCTGTTGGAGTGACCACAGCTCATCTCTCTGCATAGGGAATGGTCAGTAATCCTTCCTGGACGCTCTAGGAAAAGTAGCAGCTCTGAGGCAGACTACACTTTCTGTACCACTTCTAAACAGAAGACTGCTTCTGCGCTGTATAAGTATGCGTCTTGCTCTGTCCTCATACACAATTGGATTATAGCAGTATTCCTCTAATTCTGAACAGGTCTCAAAGATTTAATATTCCTCTGAAATTTGATATATGCCCTAATTTAGAACCTCATGACATGCAACTTGTGACATTCCTGTTGAAAAACTCATTAACCCCTTGAAACTATATTAATGCTTTTGGATGAGGATTTGGTTGATTTTGTGAGGTTTGACTTTTTCGGCTCATAATTTCAATCTAATATATTTTTTTAAACAATCTGTGGGCCCATATACTAAAATATATGAAAAATATATTCAAAAGCGTGTAACTATAACTAAACCGAAAACTTCAGTTTGCACATTCTGAAGTAAAAATTAACCTAACAAACTACTAGACTAGACGTCTTCATATTGCTTCATAATTATTGTTTTTATGTACTCAATGTTGTATCAATACAGATAGTCCGAAACTGTGGAAACATCAGAAGAACACGGTGACATAAATAAACCATGTTTCCACTGTGATGATGATGTCAAAAGTATTTCAGACATTTTTTGTCTTATTATCAATATGTACAACTAATTTGATGAGTACATTTTTTTTGTTTGTTAATAATTTTAGTACAGTTCATTTCAAATGCAATAGATATTTTAAATTAATTAGAAAAAAGGACTTTATGAAACACTTTATGATAATTTTGGCTTATTGTGAAATGTATTTTTAGTTCATCACATGCTGTCTATAATATTATTCCTATTATTGTTCACAATGGCATGAATAGTAATTCATGTAACTAACTATACGGAATAAATAATAAAAATCACAGCCTTAAACTGAAATCATATCTGATTTGCATGAATTGTTTATATAAATTATATTATTCTCAGTATAACTTTTATTATTATCTAATTCTGTAAACAGTGGAGGTGTGCTGCTACAAGTGGCTGAGCTTTATTTCCACTTTGGTGCACATGGAGCCCAGGCAGGTGCACAGAGCCCACCGTGGGGTATCAGGTATCCCCTTGGCCTAGGCCTCTCCCATTTGTCATGGTGAATGAGTGGTTTGCCTGACTGCACTTTCTCATTCCATTTCCTCCCAGGCTGCACTGAGGCCCTACCACCCACTGTACGCTGTCATTTCTTTAACCCCTTTTCCATTCACATGAAGTGCGGGCAATAATGCTCTCTCACATTCCTCCTTTCAATAGCTTACACTTTACAGTCCCCCACCTCTGCCCCCCAAACTCACTGCACACACACGCATGCACACACACGCACACACACACTCGCGTATACACACCTCTCTTCTCCTGGTCAGTCTACACCTCTCCTAATGGTGTGAAAAGCAAATGTTGTCCGTGTGACAAGTCACAGGTGTTCTACAAAAAATAGTGGTTGAATAATAATCATAGAAATAACTAAAACAAGCACAGGTTAAAAAAAAAATGGAAGAATAAATTAAATACTTTAAATATACTCAGCTATGATATTGACATAACGAATTCTTCAATGAAAAAAAAACAAAAAAACCCCAACAACATCACGGGCCTGGCAGATGCTCAGAAGGTTAATTATTAACCTATTTAGAAGAAATCTCTCACCACCCTCTCAGTCCACGTATAAAGGCAAATGTTAGTGCTGCTCTTACTTACGTCCATAATGCCTTCCACCATCCATTCTAGCTGTGATATTTGGCTCACCAGTAAAAGCCACAACACTGCGCCCATCGGCACCCACTCTGCAACTGTAAGAAGAAACTGGAATGGAAAACATTGTCTGCTCCTACTCAACAAGGGGAAAAAAGCGCTCAAGCACAAGTAAGGGTAATTGCAAAACACCCTGAGCTCATCCTATAAAGAAACTTTGTTTCTTTCCTTTTTTTTCCTCCAAAAAGAAAACCAGGAAATCTCCACTTATTTCAACAAACATTTGCCTAAACTCAGGAACTAGGCTGGACTCCCCCCATACACCACCCCCTTGCCTTTTTAAAAGTGTGGTGCGGGTCTGTGGAAGATCGGGAGAGCGTCAGTGTGTGTAGATGCAGTGCGAAGAGATTGCAGCACCATCTGCTGGTAAAAAAAAGAGCCAAGAAAATAAGAGAAGGAATAAGGATAAAGTTATGGCAGAAGCCGACAGAAAGATGAGTCCTCTGTGAGGGATATTTTCCCCCAATTTAAATTTAGAGTCCATATGTATTACTGCTAGTGGTTTGTACTTTGAATGAAAAAAAAAATATGACGGGAAAACGCAAGACCCTAATAGAGGGAAGAAACGCCATGACTGAGAGACATAATTCAACTTCCCATCACTAACTAGAAGAGGTAAAAGTTCATGGAGGCCTCTTCCTCACATCACATCCATAGCTCTGACTACGAGACATATAAACAACCTATTTCATTCTTGCCCTCATTTCCTTCAGTGGATCCTTTGGACAACTAATAATGAGTTAATCAGCCTGATTGCACATTCATCACTGTGATATGTTTCTCTCTCTCTTTTTTTCACCTGACAAGGGCAAGCATGTTTTACTTGGGAAATGAAATATTTAGTGACCTGCTCCTTTTGCCCTTACACTGGAGACAGAGGCCCTACAGCTGAGTAAACAGCTGGGCTGCACAGTGGACAGGTAACATCTAGCGCCCACTCTGCTCAGCACTGACTAATAAAAGCCACGTTACCCTGGACACTATTCTTCCCTCAAATAAAACTGACAAACAACAAGTGCAATTTAGCCTTTTTTTTTTTTTACTTTATTATTAAAATATGCATTTATGTGTTATCCATGTTAAATGTTAAAAAACAAAAGCAAAACAAAAAAACTGGCAGAAAATGGACAAGAGTGACAACTTTCACTGCCAAAGGGCCTCACCAATGGAATATATGCGGTACTGCACAATATATATTTCTATCCATCCATTAGACGAATCAAAGTTAAAATGTATAAAAGTGGTCTTGCCTGCCTTAAAAGTGGCCTTCCGCACTGAAACATTCTATTGTAGTCCTCCTCGGTAAACCAACTCACACAACACAGCCAAAGAACAAGGAAAATTATAGCCTTTCCTCTGAGTCTATTCTGCCAACTTCAGAGATTGATATGTAAACCAACGAGACAGATGGACTGGAGAGATGTTAGGAAAATGAAGAGGATGAATATTATTGAGAAGAAAAAGGAAAATGATATAAATGTATTAATCAAATGCATTTTTCTCCTGGTGCAGTGTCCAGCAAGTCACAAAATGAAATCAGTGCTGAGATTTGGGTTGACCTGTTGTTCAAGCAACGTTTGTGTAAGTGACACACTGAGAGAGAGAATTTATGAGACAATAAATAGACAAAAGCTGTCAGAGGCATTGACGCAGGAGGTGGCTGAATCTTAATATACAGTGGTTCAACGTAATACTCCCACACAAGCAGGAAAGCAAAACAGAGTATTTTAGGTAACAAAGCTTCAGTCTTGCAATCCAATATTTATCACAAACTGTACAGGTAAGACCTTACAGAGTCATTAAACATGGAAGCACAAATCTTAGAACCGCTGTTTACCGCATATGGAATGAGACTGCAAATTTCTTCAACCATATGTTCTCAGTTTCTGTTTTAGCATACATAACCTAACCCAGTCATTTATGAACAAATTCATTTTCAGCAAACACCTGAGCACAAACGACATCATTTATAACAAGGTGTTAAACATGGTGAGCTTAATATTTAATATTAATAATCAGGGCACCTGATTATAAGTACTCTTCCTGTGTGTGTTTCATTGTTGTTGTTGTTGCTGTTGTTATGGTTTTTACAAATTAACCTAGCAATAAAATAAAATCAAAATCTCTGAAAATACAATTCTTTATGATTGCTATCTTAAGCATCTGTGTACAATTAGAAACTGAGGACTGATGAGGATAGATTGGTTGTGCCTGATCAAGGCCTATTGAATTTCTACCTCTCAGCCATTCTCAAATCACTAGTCAGCACTAATGCACCCATATTGTGTCTATAAGTGTGAATTGATTTATATTGCTGCAAAGCATCCCTAAGACATTGAAAGAGCACCATTGGAACCCAATACCTATTATATATGTTTGTTTCTGAGGAAACGGCCACTCAGTACATTGGATCAATGTGGATATCAAAGGTCAAGGCAATACATTCCTGCTGAAAAGTTAGTGTGCCATCAAGCAGCCCATTTGCCAACCACCAACAGCCTAAAGACTGGAAATGAGGTGCAATAAAGATGAAGGAAGGTATTTACAAAGTTGATGTTTTATATCCGGTTGTTCAGTGATGACGCGACGAATCCTACTTCCGGGTCTAAAGTAGTCTGCGTTTAATATGGCTTTTGTGTTGTTAACATGTTTAATGTTATGTATTTTCTTCTATTTGATCTCAAAAAGCTCCTAAAACAGTCAGCGACCACTGTTGACCTCCCTCGGCTTTTATTACCGCTAATCATTTATTTAAGCTCAGTTTTTAAAACCTTACGATGTAACTACAGCCCAGCCCATGCAGCAGTATATGAATGACTAACCTCGTATTGTGGATGGATTATCTCAGTTGTTCTCCTGGCTGAAGTTTGGTCCTTTTACAGCATCCTGCCATGCGATTACATTTGTTCCTGACCACCGAGAACACTCACATTAACTTTTATCGAGTGGAAAAAAAGTTAGCTTGTTTATATTATGCTAACATAGCTGTGTCGCTAGCGGTCACGTAGCACATCATTATATACCAGCTAGCCCAACTTCAGTAACCCTACAAACGTCACTGCTGTTTAGTTTTCTGTCTTCATTTATGCTGGAAGTGATAGCAGAGCTGTACGTTTTAATTTGTTTCCAAAACCCCGCAGTCAGGACATGCTATATTGTATTTAGATAGAAGCTAGCGAGCTAACTCCCTGCTAACTTCTAACTCCGTTAAATGTCATAAATTCCATTTTCATGGATGCCTGGATGTTAAACTTAATTGTTACACCTGGTAGAGCAGAACGCTGATCATTTTATTAAAGATGAAAGACTTTAGACAGTTTTTCAACTCTCAGTAATCCCATAGTGATCGTTCGATATATGGACCTGCAGCGGAGTTTAGACCCAGACACGGCTAGTGACATCAGACTGAACAACCGGATAGTTTCTGTATTTTCTTTTCATTTACAGTCATGTGAATTCATTCCTTCTAACCTGACCCCATCTTTATAAGGAGAATTTGTACATGAAATTGGTAACTGGATCAACCATTTAGTTATTGTGATACCTAAAACATGCCCATCGCTACAAATAATTATAATTGGTCATTACAAAATGCTGATTGATCCAAACCAACTTTACTACTAACTAGAAGATCAGTTACTGGCAGGTATCTTTAAGCCTGTCAAGATAGATTCCCTGTTGAGAGACTTGGTTCCATACTCCCGAAACATTCAACCACACAAACCACTGGTGCTGGTATGTACAAATAATACTGTAAGAAATGGAAGTATTGCAGACCATATCTGAGACTTCCTTCAATAGGTCTTTGATATTAAGACTATAATCATGGGCAGTCTCAGTAGTCTTACCCACAGAGCTCTAAACTGACCCTTCTTGTGCGATCAGGGACTATTGATGTTGATATGCAAATTAAAGATCATATTAATTACTTAGGCCTGAATGCCTCAGTTGAAACTAACACCTGGCAAGCGTGCAGAGAGGATATCCTTGTGCAAGCATGGCTATAAGCATCCCTTATAGATTGTTGCTTTTTTCCCTTTTACTGCTTACGTCTCTGAGGACCTTTTGAATCCATATTAATTTCCTCTCTGGCAGTTATGCGGGCAGGGTATGAACTGTGCTATTTCACTTTTAATCTGTCAGTAATTTAGTAATGTGTAAACTAATTATGCAGCAATATTAATGTAATTGGTTCTGGGAGCTGTTCAAAAAAAAATCAATGTGTTTGCAGAGAATGCAGTAAATTGCATTGGGTTATTATAATCATGTGTCAAGAGCTGATTATGTTATGAAACTAAAAGGTAGATGTCAGCCACAGGTCAATACAACCTAGCTCCATAAAATCTATGCCGGCTCATTCATTGATGTGAAAGGATTCAGCGAGAACAACCTCCGCTTCCTCCCCTACTCTGACTTGAATGACTCATCTTCACATACAAATAGAATATATTAAAATAGTTTCTTTACATCAGACAAAACATTCAGGCTGATTTGCAGAATATTCCTACTGTGTAAATGTCTACAAGCAGATGATCATTGTGTGATATTTAAAAGTAACATGACAAATTAAAGTCTGTTTACATACATATGGAAGTATTTACAGTGCTTCACTTGTTCCACATTTTCATGTTTCATGTTAAATTAATATTTAATCCATTAATACTCATAATTCTATGCACAATATCACTTATTCTTGCAAATTTATTACAAGTAAAAAAATATATATATATATATATAACATGCACATAAGTATTTTTCAGATCTATCCAGAGATGTTCAATCAAGTTTAAGTCTGGGCTCAGGCTGGGCCACTCAAGGACATTCACGGAGTTGTCCAAAAGCTCCTTTGTTATCCTGCGCTTGTCCTGTTGTAAGATGAACCTTCGCCTTATTCCAAGGTGTAGAGTGCTCTGGAGCAGCTTATCATGAAGGATGTCTCTGTACATTGCTACATTCATCTCTACCTCAATCTTGACTAGTCTCCTAGTTCCTCCTTCCAAAAATCATCCTCACATCATGACGTGGCCACTACCATGAGTCACTGTAGGAATGGTATTGGATGGGTGATGATTGGGGCCTGGTTTCCTCCAGAAATGATGCCTGGCATTCAGGTCAAAGAGTTCAACTTTTGTTTCATCAGACCAGCTCTAGGAAGATGGTTCCAGCAGTCTTCCATTTATGGATGATGGAGTCCACTGTGCTCACTGCCTTCACTGTTGAAGAAATTTTTC